AGAATTAAACTACAGAGTAAGCCAATGAGAGGAGTAATGAAATAATTATTCTCTTATAGTCTAATTTAGAAAATTTATAAAAAAAGAAAAAAGTAGGCTAATCACTCTTATTGTTAAAATTATCAATCACAAATTAGCTTAAAATATTTACAATAATCCACATATAAAATAACAAGTCATGTATAATATAAATCCTCTGTATACTGACCTAAATTTTGACCAAATTTAACACTATGACATCTTGCAAAATTTGAGTAATTTTCCTAAAAAAGGTATTTAGCTTGAAATCATTAATGCCAGTGTTATAACTAAATGGTTGCTTGATGCTATACTTGAAATCCTAAACAAATTACTTAAAGTTCAGAGTCAATTCTATTCTTCTAGACTAGAAGTAACTTTTGTTAACAATTTTCACATTTATTTATATTTTCTTTAGACAGTTTAGCTCTGGAATACCAAATAATCTGGGTATGTGTGAAAAATTGCATTGCTTATGATATGACAATTACTTAATTCTTTGTTTTCATTAAATGATAATGAAGGTCATTAATTATAAATCTCAAGAAAAGGAAAAACTGGTCAACAGATGGTATGGATAAAAATTATGTAAAAAAGACAGTTATAAAGAATACCCAAGAGAAGCTACAATTACTGTGTATAAACAACAAAGAAATCTTTTTTTAAGGAGTAACTAATACTTTTAAAGATATCACAATGCACCAGGCACTAGGCTAAGAACTTTACAACCTCATCATCTCACTGAACTTCATAACCCTATTAAGTAGAAATTACTATCCTCATCTTAAAGATGTATAAACTGAAGCTTAAGTATTAGTTAAATTAGTTAAGTTTTAGTTAAGTGGAAGAGCTGAAATTTGGACTCAGGTCCACTTGACTCCAAAGTTCATGCTTCAAGAACTGTATTCTAGTGCCCAAGAAATAGAATATTTAAAGCTTATTAATCGGTTTATTTTCTAAGTTTATTTATTTACTTTTTTGGAATCTCTACACCCATATGGAGCTCAAACTTACAACCCCAAGATCAAGAGTCACATGGTCCTCCAAATGAGCCAGCCAGGTGCCCCACTTATTAATCAGTTTAAAAATAAATACTAGGTAGGTCATTTTGACAAAAAGATGTTTATTACATGAAAACATTCATTAGTCCCAAAGTACACACTAACCATAATACCACATCCACGACCTACTTATAACCACTCTGAGGTTTTAACAATAAATCCTAAAAAGAAAGTGAAGAACCTCACCAATAAGAAAAAGAAGATATCAATCAGAAATGGAAGCATGGCATTTAACCACATATGTTCTCTGGTTTAACCCTGTGAATAGATATCCAGCAGGTGAAAGTGAGAATAGAGCTTATTAACTCATACAAGACTAAGTATTCTATGTCTCTCAATTTAGAATATCTGGAGAATAATCTAGAAGGGTAGCTCTTGTGTGAATTTAGATAGTATATAATATTGTGATACTCTGGATCCTTGTATCTCTAAGTATCTAATCCAGGTGTCTATGACTGGCTCCCAAAGATTTAAGTTCAGAATTCACTGTCATACAAACAATGTAACAAATAGCAATAAGGCATAGTTGGCAAACACATTAGTACTACACTCTAGGCACACTTTAAACTAAACATGCTTGGGGCACCTGGGTGGCTCAGTCATTAAGCATCTGCCTTCAGCTCAGGTCATGATCCTGGGGTCCTGGGATCGAGCCTTCATTGGGCTCCTTGCTTGGTGGGAAGCCTGCTTCTCCCTCTTCCACTCCCCCTGCTTGTGTTCCTGCTCTCGCTATCTCTCTCTCTCTGTCAAATAAATAAATAAATTTAAAAAATCTTGAAAAAGATAAATTAAACATGCTTTTCAAGCATTCTGTATTTATACATTTTTTTTTTAAGTTTTTCAAATGTAACTCATTGGTTGAAAACTGTCTCAAACCTAGATTTAATGAGCCACAAGTTATCCAAATTCCTGAACTATTGACCTCAAAATAATAAGATATATCATAAGCCTGAAGTTAACATAGTTCTGCTGTTGACTATTAATTTCTAACTGAAAGTGTACTTTTTTTTTTTTAAAGATTTTATTCATTTGACAGAGAGAGAGACAGTGAGAGAGGGAACACAAGCAGGGGGAGTGGGAGAGGGAGAGGGAGAAGCAGGCTCTCTGTCGAGCAGGGAGCCCGATGCGGGGCTCGATCCCAGGACCCTGGGATCATGACCTGAGCTGAAGGCAGATGCTTAACGACTGAGCCACCCAGGCACCCCTGAAAGTGTACTTTTCTTAATTTCAGATCTTTTTCTATCAGTTTTTTTGTCACCACTCAACATAAACCTTTATTAAAAAATACTTACCCAACTTAGTATTTCCAAGACAATTATTTTTACTTCAGAATAGGATTTAGGTTAAACAGTCATGACAATCTTCAGTTTTAAACACCAGCCAGTTTTTAACCAACATTACTCCTACTCTATATGCAGGGAACAAAGTCTTCTGGTTTGGAGCAAAGAAAACGGAGACTTCTTAACTCCTAAAATTAATAAAAGTATTTAAGATATTTTTAAATTTATGTTTTCTAATTATGCTGTTTTCTCTTCTATCAGAGAGGCACATATTGGCAATGGGAGAAACAAAATCTTGATTAAACAGAGGTCTTAATTATAAAACAGGGTATGTTATATGAATCTACCATTTTCATCCAGTGGATAAAATCACAAGTGTTAGGCTGATTATGTTGAGATTTCCAGATTCCATTTTTTATTTTTACTTGTTAAGTAACAGACAAGTACTACATTCTGTTGTCAATAAATTTTCAAAGATTAGTGCTACATTTTTTTTAAAAAGGTCTCCAAAACTTAAGGATGTGCACAAAAATTTAGTTTTAAGAATGTGAATCTATTTTGAATCCAGTTTGTTAAAATTCCAAAAGTAGTTATTAACTATTCTCTTCAAAAGCATGAGCAGTATCTATTTGGTATCTCTGCAATGTTTCCAGTATTAACAATAGCCTATATGTTTTTTACAATAATGAAAATTGGAAACTACATAGACATCCAAGGACTGGGGACTGATTAAATAAGATATGTATGTGATAGCTGGATAATGGAATATTTATTTAGCCAGTAAAAGCTAAGATGTTTAGTACAAATTAGTCACTAAACAGTGTGTACTGTATAATCTCATTTTTGTTTTAAAAAAAATCTATGTGTACAGTGGTAGGATCATGGGTGCTTCAATTTCAGTGCATTCTTTTTCTACACTGATTTTATAATAATTTTTCCCCAGAATAATTTAAACTGTTCCAGATCAAAATGCAAATGCTACCTTAATTTCACAACAAAATAAAACACAGGAGTGGAGTCAGAGAGATAACTAACTAACTCTAGATAGACTTAGTTGTAAACGTCCATGGGTTAGGTGAACCAGGTATTGGAAGTTGAATGATATCGGGCTATCATGTCAAATTGGCAAATTACTGACATCGAATTTTAATGATTCAATACTTTCTGTAACCTATTTAGTTAAAATTCCAGAGAATTTTTGTTGGGAGGTAATTCTCCATGGGTCTCTATCGGTTCTACATGCCTTACAAGCAAGATATTCACTGCGCTATGCTCTGGGCTATTGTCTCAAAAATGTATGTATAGTGAAAAGCCTTGAAAGCCATGTTTATTGTTAAGTATAATAAATATTATGGTTCCCTAAGCTCAGGGCTCGTGTCCTGTAATGCAACACACCCCACCTGCAGGTGACTTCTGGTCCTCTTTGCATCACCCTGTGGGAAGTGGGGCAAAACTGCTGATATTGGGGCTACTGTTACTGCCGTACGTAATTCATCTCTGCCTAGGGGTCTGTGTCTTCTACAAAACTGTGGCAGACTGCTGTTAGTGTGCAAGTGGGATAAAAATCTCTGACCCTTCCCAGCTCTTGACATTTTCTAAAACTATGCTTTCAAAAAAACCCCACCAATGCTATATGTGCAAAAGCTAATTTCTGTCAACAAATATTTTATTAATCCCTTCATACTTACCAGCATTATTACGGTGGAACATCTGATAGAAAACCTGAAGAAAAACAGTACAACTATGTGTTAGAACTTTAGTGATTAAAAATCTTACCTCCTTTCATTTGAGCGACTCTAGTTTGGTGCCTAATGTGTAGGTGTCCTAGCCAACTAGCTTATAATGAAATCATCTGTACCCCGATGTGTCAGAAAAGGATCTTCTGAAACCAAGCCTGCATCCACTCTTAACAGATTTTTGTGTCCTTCGTGGTCTGACTGGTCCCACAGATACATTCAATTTTACTATACTCTATTTACCAAGCAATTTAAAATGTCCTAAAGGTCCTAACATGAATGTTCTGGGACAATATCCAAGTTCCCTCTCTTGCTGTGTCTCTGTCAAATAAATAAATAAAATCTTAAAAAAAAAAAAATAAGGTTCATCTAGCCTGGATCATGGCTTAGAAACCAAAATATTTAAAAACAGATCTTCTGTCCATTAATCGCTGGGTTTCAATGGAAGGGAGGCCTCCGCCCTCCACCTTCCACCCACGAGGAGGTCTGTGGGCAGCACACAGCAAGCCCAGGCCTCGCTCTCCCACACACCTGCAGGGTCCGCCCTGAACGGAGGCGCAGGCACCTCGCTGGGGGTCATTCCTTGTGAGGAGAGCGTTGGATGAGTATGGGAGCACCAGGCCAGGCCGGGTTCCCAGGGCTCCTCACTGACCCAGACCAGGCGTCAGCAGCTGTCCTGGCCTCCGTGCGGCTCCCGCGTACTCTGCCCTCCGACCTCGTTCCTGTGCCTGTCAGTGAGGGTAACCCAACATGCACGCTGGGCCACGACTTCCTGCGCAGGCGCAGTCCCGGTTTCCCAGCCCTACGGCCCGTTGCAGCGCGTTCAACGTTCCTTGGCGGCGGCGGCCGTCACTTCCGGCGGCGTTGCTAAGCAACTGAGCCGTTTGGCAAACATTCGTCCCGCTGGAGTCCTACTCGCCAAGCGTCCGAGTCGCCTTTCCAAGTCACAGAGTGCCAAGGGCACCCCGTCAGAGATGCTGGTGCGGTTTGGAAGGCGCTGTGGACGGGCGAAGGAAGGCACAGGTGAGCTAAACTGGCCTATCTAGGCACAGGGATGGTTTCTGGCCTCCAGGCATAGGGTGAGAGGCAAGGGTGGCAAATGAGAGTTTTGGTTACTTTTTGAAAAGGGCTCCACCAACTCGAAAGCAGCCCCATGGGCATTGTTGGGCTCTGTGTAAATGGACAGTTTTGCCTTCAGATAAATGGGTAGGTGGGGGAAAGTTTACACATATAGGAGCGGAGAAAAGGTAAGTCAGAGACTCCCAGTAGACCAGTTGGTCTGATCCTCAAGCTGTGCAGTTGCCCCTCCAAGAGTCTGGTGTTTGCTGAATTCCCTTAAGCTTTTGTTATTCACTGAGTGAATTGGTATATATTTTGGAAATATCAGTGACCTCATTAGAGTCTTGGCTGTGCTGTGAACCTATTGAGTACTCTTAGGAAAGTCTCTAATGGAAATGTCTCAATTTCTTCATCTCTAGAGTGAAGGAGTGTAAAAAATAATGTTACTTAGGTATTGTAATCTAGATGACCTGTTATAAAAATCTGATTTCTGAATAGAGGAGGCCTAGGGGGACATCTAAAGAACTCTTTAGCAATTCCAATGATTTTATTTTAAGTCTGTAAATTCCCAATTAATGTTGTCATGGTGACCACTTGAACCTTGGGAGTTTGGACTTTCTTCATGTCATTGCCTGAATTTCTGTAGCAATAGAGCCTCCTTATGCCAGATGCAGAGTGAGGGCCAGCCATTATCTCACCAGTGGACACTACTGGGTATTTCTGCAGTGAAGGGCCATAAGTAGCAGCAGAAGGTCCTGACTGGTTGGAGAGAGACAGTACCCATGTGACATGTATTGAAAAAACACAATTACTCTCACATACTCATTGTCTTATATACACAGTACTACAATAAAAGACTTTGACTTCTCTGATGTTAAATAATGTTTTGTGTCATTTGGTCCAAAAGTTACCATCTGAGGGGTATCTGACTGGCTCAGTTGGTAGAGCATGTGACTCTTGATCTCCAGGTTGTGAGTGTGAGCCGCATATTGGGTGTGGAGATTACAAATAAAACTTAAAAAAAAGTTACTATCTGAGCCTCACTGCTAAATTATTATCTCCATTTAGAAGAGGGTGAAGTAGGAGAGGGGTTCAGATAGGTAGACAGCTATCTGTAAAACAACTATCTAAAGATTTAGTGGGGTGACATCAGCCAGAAAGGTGGGATAAGAATCTCCAAAAGTCCTCCTCTCTATTAAATCAAAAAGAACACTGACAAAAAGATTGTCAGAACCAAGTTTTTTCTGAGAACTCAGGAAGTTAACCAAAGGCTTGCAACAACCAGGAGTGTTTGTCAGGAAAAATAGCTGAATCTTGGTAACAACAATAAGTTTTTTGGCATTTTAACTTGCTCTAATCCGATACTTTTCTCCTAGCCCCATGGAAGTCTAGAAAACCACTGCAACCACAGTGAAATTCAGTGGCTTAGTAACCTGTGGAGGGGGCAGAACAGGATTGGATCCTCCCCAAAGCCTCACCCCCTTTTTTTAGATAACTGTTATTTGACCTGTCTCACAGTTCCCCTGGAAAATCCCACTCACAGGGCTTGACTTTATTTGACCTGACTCAGAACTTACTAGGTATGTTTGTTAAAATGATCAGTAGCAATTTTTTTTAAGATTTTACTTATTTATTTGACAGAGAAAGAACAAGCAGAGGGAGTGGCTAGCAGAGAGAGAGGGAGAAACGGGTTCCTGCTAAGCAAGGAGCGCAATGCAGGGCTCTATCCCAGGACCCTGGGATCATGACCTGGGCCGAAGGCAGCCGATTAACCAACTGAGCCACCCAGGCACCCCAGCAATTTTTTTTTAACATCACAGCTATCTGACATAGTGATAACTGTTGGGTATAAACAACAAACTAACCAAAAAACTTAAGAATACCTGGGAAATGAGATGTCCATAAGGGGTAGAAGCTCCCTACTTATTCCTGGGAATCCAGGACAAATGCATGCATAGTGCTATGCACATGCCCAGGAAATACCTGAGAATGAAGCTTTCACCTCTGGCTGAATTTGAGGCTCTCTGCGAGAAAAAAAGTAAAGGCTAAGACAGAGTTGTAAACTATCTGCCTGAGAGTTGAAGTCATGCTCCACCACTCACAGAGAGTTTCTTGGCAAAGCCTGGGAAACTTATTTAAGAAAATTTAATTTAATTTAAGGAAACTCTATCCAGTTATTAGCTGACAACTAAACTAACCAAGCTGAGATTCCAATAGCCACATACAACAAAGAATACAGACTTTACAGGCTTAGTTCAGGAAAATCACCAAACAAACAACAACAACAACAGCAAAAACCTTGGGTGTAGGGGGAATCTAACATCTAGACTTGCCACATATTACTTAAAATGACAAGGCATGCAAAGAAATAAGAAAGTATGTCCCAAACAGGACAAAAGTTTTAATAGGAACTGTTCCTCAGGAAGCCAGATGTTAGACTTCCTAAACAATTTTCTTGTGTAAATTTATAGCTATTGTGAGTATATTCAAAGAACTAAATGTCAAAGGAACTACAGGAAAATATTGAGAATGCCATCTCACAAAATAGACCATGTCAATAAAGATACAGAAATTATAAACAGAAACTAAATAGAAATTTTGGAGTTGAAAAGCACAATAGTTTAAATGAAAAATTCACTAAAGGGTCTCAATAGCAGATTTGAGCTTGCAGAAGAAAAATTCCATGAATTTGAACATGTGTTGATTGAAAGTGTCCAGTCTAAGGGGTAGGAAGTAAAAAAGAATGAATAAAAATGAGCAGATCCTCAGAGAAATGTAGGACACCAACAAGTATACCAACATGCGTGCAGTTTGAGTCTTAGAAGGAGAAGAGGAGAGAAAGGGGGTAGAAGAAAATATTTGAAGAAATAATGACTGTAAACTTCACAAATTTGATGAAAAACATTACATATTACATATTAAAGAGCTCATTGATCCTCTAGATAAAATAAACTCAAACAGATCCAGAACCAGACATAGCTTGATCAAACTGTCAAAAGACAAAAGCAAGAGCAAAATATATAATCCTCTCAAATGCACATGGGACTTTTTTCAGGATAGATCATATGATAGGCCATAAAACAAGTCTTTATACATTTAAAAGGATAGAAATCATACAAAATATATTATCCAGACACAGTGGAATGACATTAGAAATCAATAATAGAAATTTGGGGAAATCACAAATATGAAGAAATTAAATGCTTTAAGATTTTAAAAAATGGGTCAAAGAAGAAACTATGCAAATCAAAACCACAATGAATGGTGGCTGTATGGTGACTAACATAACATAATAAAAATATGGTGGCTGTTAGAATGGCTATTATCAAAAGGATAAGAAATAACAAATGTTGGTGAGGATGTGGAGAAAAGGGAAGCCTTGTGCACTCTTGTTGGAAATGTAAATTGGTGCAGCCACTATTGAAAACAGTATGGAGTTTCCTCAGAAAATTACAGATGGGGCGCCTGGGTGGTTCAGTTGTTAAGCGTCTGCCTTCGGCTCAGGTCATGATCCCAGCGTCCTGGGATCAAACCCGCATCGGGCTCCCTGCTCAACGGGAAGTCTGCTTCTCCCTCTCCCACTCCCCCTGCTTGTGTTCCCTCTCTCGCTGTGTCTATCTCAGATAAATAAATAAAATCTTAAAAAAAAATTACAAATAGAATTACCATATGATCCAGGAGTTCCACTTCTTGGTACTTACCCAAAGAAAATGAGGACACTAATTCGGAGAGATATCTGCACCTCCATGTGCATTGCAGTATTATTTGTGCATTGCAGTATTATTTATACAAGTCAGGATATGGAAACAACCTAAGTGTCTACTGATGGGTGAAAAGGTAAAGAAAATATGGTTTATATGTACAAAAATATTATTTATACACAGAAAATAATAAAATCTTGCCATTTGCAATAACATGGACTTTGAGGGCAATAAATCAGACAGAGAAAGACAAATACTGTATGATGTCACTTATATATGCAGAACGTAAAAAACAAACAAAAAACTCCACAACCCCCCCCCCCAAAAACCAAGCTCATAGATAACAGAGAACAGATTGGTGGTTGCCAGAGGCAGGAGGTGGGCCATGGGAGAAATGGTGAAGGAGGTCAAAAGGTACAAATTTGCAGTAAGTCCTGGGGATGTAATGTACAGCATGGTGACTATAGTTAATAATACTATATTGCATAATTGAAACTTGCTAAGGGAGTAGATCTTAAAAGTTGTCACAAGAAAAAGATATCAATATGCTTAACAATATGTTAATCAAAAGGTAGATGGTTTAACCTAGTAGCCTTTGTTTAGTTAGCCTTTAATTGCAAGTAGCACAAATAAAGTTGAGACAGTTTAGGCAAAACAAAGGAAATTTGTTAGAAGGATGTATTTGTCAGGGCTCTTTGGTTACAAGTGACGAATCGAACTCATAATAGTTAAAACAAAAGGGGACTATTTTGGCTCACATAGCTGGGAATTTAGATATAACTTGATCCAGGACACTATTCTACTTCCCAGCTTTGTGTAGTAGCTTTATTCTGTAGGCGGATACTTGGTATGTGATAGGCAAGATGGTACCTATGGTTCTAAACTCACACTTTACTTTAGCAACCAATTTCTCAATCCCATCAACCTTAATTCAAACCCCAAGGAGACTCTTAATTGATTCTGGCAGCTTTTCTCTCAGTATCTTTATCTCTTTCTGAAGTCATGTGGTTTCTTCTGCTTTTCTCTGTATATCTGTTTCATTCCTCTTATAATAAAAATAGTAAACATAATAATAGCTAACATATATTGAGAACATATTGTGTGCCACACCCTATTCTAAATTTTTTACATATATAACTTCATTTAATTCTCACACCAACCACATAAAATAGGTCCTATTAATATCTCCATTTTGCAATTAAGGAATTAGAGAGTTAAATAATTTTGTCTAGATTTACATAGTTCATATGTGGTATGTTCATTTAGGATGCTTTTTAATTCATATATAGAATACCCAGCTCAATCATATTTAAAAATAAGGAAATTTATTTGCTCATGAAACAGGAACTCCAGGCTTCAGGTCTGATTGATTTGGCATCATAATGAGATCCTCATTGCCCCACATTCCTCCTTTGTTTTTCCTTTGTGGTTCACAGTAATAGCTTCATTGTAAGGCTACTTCCTTTTGTGGCCATAGGATGGTTGCCTATCCATTCTTCATGCTTCCTTGTTCATATCTAGTTTAAGAGTCACTCTCAAATGTCTCTCCCAGAAGAACAAGAAAGAACTTTTCTAAAAGTCTCAAATAAATCTCTTTTCCTTTTGTTTTCTTATTACAGAAATAATTATTGGCAAAGGAGATGCAGGTATTCTTAAACTAATGAGACCCACCCTGAGACCGTTCTCCAAATTACATTGTTGCTACTCAATTAAGAAGGGGTTGAATAGAGTCAATGATGATGTCTACAACTTCTAAAGATGAACGTCCCCCAAATTATCCATTTATAGACTGCTACTTGGTCAATTTTGAAAAAAATGGTTTTTTTTTTTTTTTTAAGATTTTTTATTTGACAGAGAGCGAAAGAGAGATCACAAGGTGGGGGTAGGGGACGGGCAGAGGGAGAGGGAGAAGCAGTCTCCTGGCTGAGCAGGGAGCCTGATGCGGGGCTCCATCCCAGGACCCTGGGATCATGACCTGAGCCAAAGGCAGACGCTTAACCAACTGAGCCACCCAGGAGCCCCTGAAAAAAAAGTTTTAATAACAACATTTGTTTAAAACAACAATGTTTAATAACGATGTTTTAATAACAAAAAGGTATTATTGATCTCAACTTTAAAGATGTTGATACTGAGTCTCCAAAAAGTTAAATGACTTGCCTCAGTTTACAGAGTAAGGAAATGACCGAGGAAAGACTCAAATCTGTCTTTTGATTTCAAGTTCTTATATACTTTGCACTTAATCTCAGTGTTCTTAAAATCACAAGAATAAAATTATTATTTAAAACAATTTCCAGATATGATAATACAGAAATGTCTGAGAAAAAATATTTAAACTTTTGAAAGTCTTTAATATTCATTTTTAAAAATTTATTAGAAATAAAGAACTCTGAAGAAGATCAAGCTCTCTATCCACCTCTTCTACCTAGCAAGGTAGATCTCCGGCAGGTTACCATAATTCCACACAATGAGTGGAAAAGGATTCAAGATAGCCTTGACAGTTTGACAAGAGAAGCAGCATGTCTTCGTGCAGAAAGAAAGGCAAAGAAAGAAATGCATTTCCGGTCCCAAGAAATGGTAAAGCACTGGACTAATACATATGCAGTAAGTATTAATCACCCAGGAGTACACATGCACTGAAGACTGACTCTTTTTTCTTAGTACTCTTTTATAAGTATTTTTTACATGTAAAATCATAAAAAATACTTTGAAACACATTTTCAATAGCTTTATTTAGGAGAAGTGACATACAATAAAGTAGACGTATTTAAAGTGTACAATTTGATGTTTTGACATATTTACACACCCCTGAAACCATTATAATTAAGATAATGAACATACTCATCACCCAAAGTTTCCTCATACTCAGTTTACTCCCTCTCATTCCTCCCCACCCTTCTTCAGGCAACTGATCTGCTTTCTTTCTTTTTTTTTCAAGATTTTATTTTTAAGTAATCTCTACACCCAACTGGGGCTTGAACTCACAACCCCGAAATCAAAAGTTACATGCTCCATCAACTGAGCCAGCCAGGCAGTCTTGATCTGCTTTCTTTCTTTTTTTTTTTCCTTTAAGATTTATGTATTTATTTGAGAGAGAGAGTGTGCACCTGTGCACACACAAGCAGGGGGAGGGGCAGAGGGAGAATCTGAAGCAGACTCCCCGCTGAACACGGAGCTGAATGTGGGGCTCCATCTCACAACCCTGAGATCATGACTTGAGCTGAAATCTAGAGTCCATCACTTAACTGACTAAGCCACCCAGGTGCTCCTGCCCTCATCTACTTTGTATTATAAATTTCATTCAACACAATTATTTTGAAATTCTATCATGTTGTTGTGTATATCAATTGTTCATTCATTTTTATTGCTGAGTAGTATTCCGTTGTATGGACATACCACACTTTGTTTATATGTTCAATTGTTGATGATTTTGGCATCAACCAAATGTTGATATATGAGCTGTTTCCAGTTTTTGGCTATTATAAATAAAGCTGCATATGAATATTCATGTATAAGTCTATTTGTAGACATATGCTTTCACTTCTCCTGGGTAAATATCTGGGTAGAATGGCTGGATAATATTATGGTTGCATATTTAACTTTGTAAGAAACTTCCGAACTGTTTTTAAAAGTAGTTGTAATTTTATATTCCCGTAAGAAGTGTATAAGTGTTCTATTTTCTCCACATTCTTACCAACTTGCTATTGTCTGTCAGTCTTTTTAATAGGTATGAAGTAGTTTTAATTTGAATTTCTCTAATTACAATGATGCTGAACATCTTTTTATGAACTTTTTTTTTAATTTTATTTATTTACTTCATAGAGAGAGAGAGAGATCACAAGTAGGCAGACAGGCAGGCAGGCAGGCTGAGGGAGAGGGAGAAGCAGGCTCCCCACCAAGCACGGAGCCCAATGCAGGGGTCGATCCCAGGACACTGGGATTATGACCTGAGCCAAAGGCAGATGCCCAACCGAATGAGCCACCCAGGCGCCCCTTATTTTCTATTGTCTGTCTTCTTTGGTGAAGTGTTTATTCAAATCTTTTGCCCATGTTTAAATGGGGTTTGTTTTGGTGTGCACCTAGTGGCTCAGTTAGTTGAGCGTTTGACTCTTGGTTTTGCCTCAGGTCATGATCTCTGGGTCCTGGGATCAAGCCCTGAGTTGGGCTCCGTGCTCAGAGCAGAGTCTGCTTGAGATCCTCTCTCTCTCTCTCTAAACTAAATAATTAAATCTTTAAAAAATAAATGGGGTTTGTTTTCTTATTTCTTATTATTGGGTTTAGGGAATTTTAAAAATATATTCTGAATACAGATCCTTTATTAGATATTTGATTCAAAAATATTTTCTCCCAGCTGTGGGAAGGGACACAGAAACTTGTAGTACCTTGCTTTAGGAACAGTGTTCATAATTTATTCTTTTTTCTAGAAGAGGGAAAAATATCGTGACATATCATAATATTACATATACCATATATTACATATATTACATTCTGAAAAATGCAAAACTACAGGGAAAGAAAACGGATCAGTGGTTGCCAGGGCCTGCAGATGGGGGAGTGGTTGGTATAACAGGGCATGAGGGTATTTTTGGGGGGGATGGAACTGTTCTATGAGTGACGACTGTGCATTTGTGAAACTACACTAAAAGGGTATGTAAATTATACTCTAAAAAACTTGATTTTAGAGAAGTACCTTGTCCATAAAGGGATGGGGGAGTGGAATATACTATATATACACACAGAAGTAGCACACTGTACATAATACTTTATATCTCCATGGATGTTAAAATATAAGAAGAAATATAGTAAATGTGGTAAAAATGTAGTCATAAAAACTGTTTTATAGGCACAGAGATTGACAAAATAATAGATCATAAGAGAGAGCCTAGAAACACTCACATGTTATATATGGGAACTTGACATATGACAAATGTCAGTCAAGTCAGAAGGGAAAGGATTGGGTATTCTATAACTAATACTGAGATAATTGGCATATGGAAAGATGAAATTATATCCTTATGGTATAGAATATACAAAAATGAATTTCAGCTGGATGAAAGACCCAGATGTGAAAAGTAAAACAGTAAAAATTTAAAATAAATCATAGAATATCTTCAGGATTTTAGGGTAAAGTAAGGTTTTCTTAAGACATAGAAAGTATGACCCATAGAGAAGAGAGACTTCATCTGACATGATACATTGGATAGACTCCTCATAGGTGTAGAAGAGCATATAAATATGCTACTGTTGATTTTTTTAAAGGAATAAAAATAGTAATATATATATTTATATAAATATGGAAAGGAACTTTGGAAGCAAATATAAGAAACTGATAATAGTGGTTATCTTCAAGATTGCTGATGGAAGTTAGGATTAGAGGGAGAGCTTTGCTGTATACCTTTACAATATTTTGGAGTTTTGAACCATGTAAACATGCTACCTACCCAAAAATTCAATTAAATTATTAGCTGTAGTGTAACATCATATTTTATTTATTAATGATACATACAACTACAATAAAAACTCATAATGAAAGCTCAAATTATTTCATCATATGTAATGTTAAATTTTGTGAAATTAAGTTGAAAAGCGAAAACAGAAGACTGATTTTTTTCTTTTTTTTAGGGGATGAAAGAACAGAAACTTAAAGCCAAAAAGAAGCGTGATGAAGAAATAGAGGCAGAAAGACAAATTCTTGATATAGAGGAAGAAATATACAAACAAGGAGAAAGAAAAAAGGCTATTGAATTTGCAAAGCAATATCAATTTTACCAGACAGAAAGAGTGAAACACTTTCATGTACTACTTGGGTTTTCTTGTATTTCTCTGTATATTTAACGTATCTATACATAATTAGACTTTATTTTCTTAAAATGCCACAATTTTTTTTTTTTTTGTAGTCAGGACTTCTTCTTAGTAGAGTTATGAAAGAACGTGATGCACAGATTGAATCCCAAAAGAAAAAAATAAAATCAGATAAAAAATGGGAAGAACAATTGAAACTCAGCATTGAAAAAGCTTTTAAAGAAGAACAAGAAAAAGCAGAAAAACGACGCAGAGATAGAATCGCTCTTGCCAATGATCATTTAAAACAGTATGTATATATAAATTACCTTTTATTGTATCTTATTTTCTCACAAAAGCTTTTTTTCAGATTATAAAAGTAATACATGCTGAAATACCTAGTAAGTAGAAAAAATACAAAGAAAGGTTAAGTCTCTATTACTCTCTTACCCAGAGATAATATATTAGTTACTATTGTCACAATAATGCTGCATAACAAACAACCACACGATCTAGTGTCATTCAACAATAAACATTTATTTCTCATGCCTCCATGGGTTGGTTGGGCCTGGCTGTATAGCTTTTCTTCACACTATAGAACTGGTTGGGTTTGCTGGTTGCTGTGGGGAGGGCTCTGATCTGCTCCATGTGTATTCATTTTTAAGATCCAGGATGAAGGGGGCGCCTGGGTGGCTCAGTTGGTTAAGCGACTGCCTTCGGCTCAGGTCATGATTCTGGAGTCCTGGGATCGAGTCCTACATCGGGCTCCCTGCTCAGCGGGGAGTCTGCTTCTCCCTCTGACCTTCTTCCCTCTCGTGCTCCCTCTCTCTCATTCTCTCTCTCTCAAATAAATAAATAAAATCTTTAAAAAAAAAAAAAAAAAGATCCAGGATGAAGGGACAGCAGCCACTTGGGGAAACTTTTCTCATGGTATTGACAGAGATGCAAGAGAATGAGCCCGAGCTTACAAGAATGTGGCTAAACTCAAAGGCAAAACTCTAGGAAGTGCACTTGATCTACCATAAGTCTAAAGCAAATCATATGACCAAGTCTAACAACCATGGAGCAGAGAAACGGACTCCCATGAAGTGGGAAGTGAGAGAGTGAATCATTTTGAGCAATAATCTAATCTACCACAATAATCTGTTATTGTTTTGACATATTGGTATATAGCCATATGGACATTTTTTGGTGGTGGTGGATGGGGTCAGAGTCATTGAGCTATAATTTACATTTACTAATAAAATTCACCTTTTAAAAAGCATATAGCTATATAACTACCCCTAAATCAAGATATAGAATCCTTCCATCCCAAAATTTTCCTCATGCCCCTTTGCACTAAGTTATATTCTTTCCCCTCAGGCCCTGGCAATCATTGAGCCACTGATACAGACTTTTTTTTTCTGAGCATATATACTCATATTTTATAAAATGAAATTGGATCAATAGTGTCATTGTATATTTTTTCACTTACCAGTATATCATGAGCTTTTGCTATATCAGTAAATAGAAATCAAACCTGAACTTTTGTTAAGAAGTAGCTACTATATATATCAGGAGAGGGGATTATATTTGTGTCTAATTTTACTTACTTTTCTAAATAGCTGATACATGCAAATAGGAAAAGGCACAAAGGGGATTCAGTAAAAAGTCTCTTCCTCATCTACCGGCCACCTTGTTTTTCCAATGTGAGACTTACAGTTTCTTTACATTGTAGTTTAAATGTGCATAGATTGTGTAAATGTATCAAAACATTTTAAACACTATTATACTAAAAAGAAAAAAATTTTTATACTTAAACATATCATTAATAGATGATCATTATAGAATTGCAAAATACAATAAAACAAAGTGAAAATTAAAATCACTAGAAACTCTGTGATCCAAAGTAGGTACTGTTAACATTTGGGCATATATTTGTCTACTTTTCAAAGTTATTTTTTTTAATTTTGCAACTAATAACTGAATATATACTTGTTAAAATTCAATACAGCAAAATTTGGAATAAAATTGAAAAGCCCATCTTCATATCCACCCTTTTCAATGTCTCTTTAAGTCCCATTTTCCTCTTCACAAATAGCCATTATTAATAGTTTTGTGACTACCCCTTCAGAATGTTTTATTACTATTACTAATATCTATACAGGGCATATTTAACTGTGTATATATTTTTAACAATGAATGTTTTACAATGTATTTTTCTGTGTCTTCATTTGTTCACTCAACAATATACCTTGAATATCTTTTTTGCCAGAATATTTGGATCTGTCACATCTTTTACAATAATCATATTGTACACTAAGGATATACCATTATTTATTTCACTGTGTTATTATTGAGGGAAGTTTGGATCTTTCCCTCCTCCATTTCTAACAATGCTGTAGTGAACATCCCTGACCATATATATTTTGTAACTTTTGTGCAAAGATGTAGTTATGTAGGGTAGATTTCTTGAACTGAGCTTGGATTTTACATGTGGAGAGATACTGCAAAATTGCCCTCTGAGAAGGCTTTAAGTATGTAATCATCAGTTATATCTGATACCCTTTTCTTTATGTTATAATCAATTCTGGGCAGTACTTTTTTTAGAATTTAAAGGACCAAAAAATAGTATCTTTTAATTTACGTTTCTCCTAATTTCTAGTGAGGCAGGTTATTTTTTCATGTTTAAATATTCATCTGTTTTGGTTTTTATCATAAATTGGTTACTCCATTGTTCTCTTGTATAGGTTGTTTTGATTAATAAGCAGTTTTTATATATGTTGGATATTAATCTTTATTGGACATATTGCAGATTTTTGTCATCTTTTCTGAATGGTGTTAGTATTTTCTTTTTAAAGATTTTATTTTTAAGGGGTGCCTGGGTGGCTCAGTCTGCCTTCGGCTCGGGTCGTGATCCCAGGGTCCTGGGATCGAGCCCCGCATCGGGCTCCCTGCTCGGCGGGAAGCCTGCTTCTCCCTCTCCCACTCCCCCTACTTGTGTTCCCTCTCTCGCTATGTCTCTTTCTGTCAAATAAATAAATAAAATCTTTAAAAAAAAAAGATTTTATTTTTAAGTAATCTCTGTATCCAACATGGGGCTCAAACATACAACCCTGAGATTGAGAGTCACATGCTCTACCAACTGAGCCAGCCAGTCACCCCTGAATGGTTTTAGTATTTAGAAGACACTAATTTTTATGTGCTTAAATCTGTCTCTTTTTGTTATCATGGTTTTGAGTTTTGTATATATATATTTACTTCTCATAGTCACAAATGTCTGAGTAAAATAGATATCAATTCTCAGGTTACATGTGTTGCCATATTGTGTAGTCTTCATTTCTTGTAATCCTTAGTAAAAAGAGAAGGGAAACCTCTGGATTTATTGTAATTTTTTTTTCTTCGTCAGTGTAGAGACCCAAGGGTTTATGCAAGTTAGGAACAGAGCCATTGGCCGAGGGAGGCAAATAGTTGACCAGTGTGCCACGTTTGAGAAATCTCTCTTCTGTTGGCTGTTGGGGCTCTGAGATAGTTACAGGTAGCAGACTGATCTCCAGGAAACTGCCTGGCAAGTGCTAACACCTTCACAGGCCATCTACCTACCTATATAACCTTTGCATGTAGATTGTGATTGGGCCACAGGATCCCATTTCCTTGTGGTCTTTCCATGTGCTGCTTAGCGGTTCCAGCAGGTCTAAGGTTTGTTTGAGTTGTTTCTTTGGCTTATCTTCAGTGTAGTCTAGGAGATGTTGACTGGGCTCTGAGGTCAGCTTAAATTCCTTTCCTTTTCATGGTGGGCTCTGTCTTTGTGAATGATGGCCAAGTATTACTTAACTTGATTGTACTCTCAAGTGCCCTTTTTTTGCTGAAATTTCTTGGAAATTCAAGTATAAGTTAAGACTTTGCTTTATTTTGTTTCTAGTAGTGATATAAAATTTCTTCCATTCTGTTGGTTGCATTGTGGGGACTTGGGAAGGGAAGGATATTTGACATGTGGGCTTGGGTTGCCACTTTGCAAATTTCCAGAAGTCCTACATCTTAAATTTATTAGGAAACATTCAATTCTGTAATTGAAGACAACAAAGGAAAATTCAAATCTATTATTATAAATTTTTTTAGGCATATGAATTTATAGAATTATCACCAAGTACTATTCTGTTGGATGTTGATTCATGTGTCAGTTTTATACAATTCAGAATGCGTGTCACTTAATATACTGTAGGAATGGTAATGAGCCCATAAAAAGCCTCTTTAAGTCAACAACAGAACTGGAATACTAACACTGGTATTAACCTGAATAGATACAGAGGACCATGTGGTAGAAAAGAGAGGAGGAGAGTTTCCCCCCACTTTCCTGAATAGTAAGAAAGAGTCTATTCAGGGGCACCTGGCTAGCTCAGTAGAGCACACAACTCTTGATCTCATGGTTGTGAGTTTGAGCTCCATGTTGGGTGTGGAGCCCTATTTAAAATTAAAAAGAAAAAAATTTAAAATAAGGGTCTATTGAGGGGAAAAATTTTAAGATAGGCTATTTATTCGTTCATTAGCAAATTCATTTATCCAATCATCCATTCATTGTTATAAACATTTATTGGACAATTTCCATTTGCTAGCCACTATTCTAGTAACTGAAAATGTGAAAATGAGTGCAATTGTTTTTTTTTTTTTAAGAAGTTCACAATCTGGGGAGGAGTTTATAAATATGGAACAAATAATTAGGGTATTAATAGTAGATATTTTGGCAAATATATTTACAGAATGTGTGGAAGCATATAAAATGGACATCTGATCTTGTGTAGAGAAGCGACTAATTTTTAGAAAAGATCAGTTCTAGCACCAAAGTATGAAAACTGAGCAGGAATAAGTCATGCAAATAGTGGGGATGTAGAAGTATTTTAAGCAGAGGAAGTAGCAGGGGTGAAGGCCCAGAAGTAAGTTAGAGTATGGTGGATTTGGGTAACTACAAGTAGTCAAGATGACTATAGTAAGAGGCCTAAGAGAGCAGTGTTAAAGAAGAGATTGGGGAGAGGCAAGGGCCAGGTCATGATGTGCCATGTATCTAAGGTGTGCCAAAATTTGGAATGACTTTCCACTTTGAGAAAAGACCATATTTTAATTCTTTTAATCACAAAGAAATGGAAATTAGAGGATACCAAGAGGCAACACTCTTTTGCATGCCCTGGTAATTATATTACCAAGTGCTATTCAGGTATTACCTGGTGGTGATTTAAAATATGTCCACACATTCTTTGATACTCCTCCCTTCAGAGGGTGGAATCTAATTCCTCCCTCCCTTGAGTGCTGGCTATACAGAGTAACTCATTTCCAGTGAAGAGAATGAGTAGAAGTTATGTTGTGTAACGTCCTGAGAGAGATTAGGATATAAAAGGCATTGTGGCTTCCTTCTTGTTATCTTGGATCACTCATTCTTGAGGATGCCATGGTGTGAGGACACTCAGGCAGCTCTATGTAGAGGTGCATGTGGCAAGGAGCTGAGGCTTCCTACCAAGAGATATGTAAAAATGGGTTCTCCAGCCTCAGTCAAGCCTTCAGATGTCTACTACTCCAACTAACATCTTGACCGCAACCTCTGGAGAACCACCCAGCTAAGCTACTCTCAGATTCCTGAGTCTCAGAAATGGTGTGAAATAATAAATGTTTATTATTTTAATCCATTAAATTCAGGGGTAATTACTCAGCAATGGATAACTAAAACACACTGTACAGCTGCTGGCCCTGTGCCTGAAAGTGAGATTTCACACATTTTTAAAACAATCTCTAGGCTGCAGACCTGGGCAGTCTATTCCATTGTTGGGCTTTCAGCAGTATAAGAATCTACCTGTGGCTCTCAGCCCAGTGGGCATAATGAGGATGGGGTAAATGAAGGCCTCTAGTGACACCAAAAATCCCCAAATGAAGGGATTCTGAGAATCTTAAGAATCTTAAACATAATTATTATTATTTTTTAGGATTTTATTTATTTATTTGACAGAGAGAGAGCACAAGTAGGCAGAGGGAGAGGGAGAAGCAGGCTCTCCTGTGAGCAGGGGCCGGATGTGGGGCTCGATCCCAGGACCCCAGGATCATGACCTGAGCCAAAGGCAGCCGCTTAACCGACTGAGCCACCCAGGCACCCCTTAAACATAATTATTGAAAAGAAATTTAACAGTATCTGTAGATTATTATACTGCATATAATTCTATTTCCTTCTATTGATAGGTAAGCCTTTCTCCAGGAAGGGGCCAATAGACCTTGCTTAAGAACAGCTCACTTACTGTTAATCTCATCAGCTTCTCAGAAGGAAAAATCATCATAGGATAGTTTGCATCACTTCCCCCTGGATAAGATCATCTAGAGAAAAAGCAGAGAGAGATATGAGGGCTTAAGTGATCTTCATCCATTCCTAATGATTAAAAACCCATCTTAAATCTAATAACTTCCACATTTTTAACTCTAGTTCAGACCACTCCTTTGAGTCCCAGCTTCACATATCCAACTGCCTTTAAGACATCTCCATTTGGAAGTCTCATAGATATAAAAAATCTAAAATGTCTAATATGAAATAAAATTTTGATTCTCCACCTCCACAGTGGACTTTCTGGTGGCACCCTTATCCACTCAGTTGTTCAAATCAGAAACCTAGGAATACACCTCAATTTTTCATGTTCCTTTATTTTCCACAACAGATCTATCAGCAATTGATGTTGGATTTTTTCTCCAAAATGAATCTTAAAATTACTGCTGTCATCTTAGTCCAGGCCACCTTCATGTCCCAATGGATTATTTCATCAACCCCTTAACTGGCCTCCTGTTCTCTCTTCCTAAGTCCTTTTCCTTTCATCATCCAGAGAGATTTTATTAAAATAAAAATTGATCATATTCTCCCACCTAAAACTTTTCAGTGGCATTCTGTTCATTTAAAAGAAAATGGAAATGACCATCTCCCACAAAGCCTTTGTGTGATCTGGCCTCATCTACCAACCTCCTTTCCTACCACTCCTTCCCTTCACTTATTCTACTTCTATCATACCAATCTCCCAGGCCTTGAGCACCTGTCAAACCTTTGCTTGCCTCAGGGCCTTCTCACAGGTTTTTCCCACTGCCTGGAATTTTGTTCTCCCATTCTTCATCAGGTGGGTTTCTCACCAGTTCAAAGAATCTTCTTCTAAGAATTCTAACAAACTAAATATACAGTAAAATTTTTTTGAAAATCTAGTATTTTTAGGACAATCATAAACCTGGTTTAGCTGTAGCAGCGCCTCGGTGGCTCAGTCGTTAAGCATCTGCTTTCGGCTCAGGTCATGATCCCAGGGTCCTGGGATCGAGCCCCACATCGAGCCCCGCATCGGGCTCCCTGCTCGGCGGGAAGCCTGCTTCTCCCTCTCCCACTCCCCCTGCTTGTGTTCCCTCTCTCGCTGTGTCTCTCTGTCAAATAAATAAATAAAATCTTTAAAAAATAAAATGACACCTATAAATAAATAAAATAAAAAAAAAAAACCAAAAAACCTGGTTTAGCTGTAGCCGACGGTGACTTTTTTCTTAGCTCCTCCCAAAGAAAGTGACTGTGGCTCTGAAGCTGCTTACTCTGTACAGATGTATCAGCTGGGGATCTCCTGTCCTGCGCTGGCTACCTGTGTGCTCCTCCATGGCACTGGGGAAGGGGATTTCCCCCTCTGGAGCTGAGCGATGAGACTCCAAGAAAAAATTCTTTTGCATTGGGTGCATATGAAAGAAAGCTTTATTCCTCAGTCTTTTTTTAATGTAAGTGTGTTGTTGATCCACCCTGTGTCTACCTGTTCAGGAAGGAAAAAAATTAGAGACAGCAGATAGAGAATGGCAGTGGAGCAGCCTGCACACTTGATTGGCTGACAAGGATGCACGGGCAAGTAGGCATCTCAGGCTGAGCCGCCTTGCCAGTACGCAGAGGCTTGATTGCCAGATGAGGGCACTCAGAGTTTGCAATAAAGTACTGATGGTGGAAGCTCATGGTAGTGATGGTGATGGAGCTGGGAAGGTGGGTTGAAGAGGTAGAGCTGGAGCTAAATTTCCCAGATCACAGCCCTGCAGTAAGGAGGGTGCTCAAGGATCTCTGAAGAACTCACAAGTAAGCCCTGTGTGGCTTACCACACAAAAGGCATCAATAGCTACTGAATGTTGGCTAGACGAAGAATGGCAGCCAAGGTGGCTAGCCCATTTCCTAAGAGGCTAGACCCGTAGTGCTGAAATTGAGAAACACTAAGGATTAAGGACTTTTCTGTAAAATAATGTCACCATTCCACTATACTGTCATTCAGTTACCTAGTTCTTTCTAAAGGAAAGGAACATTTGAATCTAGTATAGGACTTAATTTTGGTCAGGAATGAAACAAATTTTGGAGAAAGGAAAATATTGGCAATTGTGGGCTAACCAAAATTAGATTTGGCTTTAATTACTGCTTTTTATATATCTGTTCTTGTCCCCAAAGAAATTCACAAATTTCCCCACAGCTTCAAATCATCCCAGGTAAGAATCTAATCCATTTCTTCAAAATATAACCTATTTTTCTGCTTTGCTCTCAATTTTAGTTATGTTTTTACTTTAGAATCAAGGAACATAAAGAGGAAGAAGAAAGAAGGAGAAAACATGAAGAAAAGGATGCTAAGGAAATAAAGCGACAAAATGCATTATATGAAATAGAAATGAGGAAAAAACTAGAAAAGAAAAAAGAAGAGATAAATGAAAGCAGAAGACTGTTTTTTGTAAGTTAAAAATACAGCATTTATTAAAAAAAATGTATAAAGTCCAGGGGCACCTGGGTGGCTCAGTCGGTTAAGCGTCTGCCTTCGGCTCAGGTTGCGTCTCACATCAGGCTCTCTGCTCAGCGGGGAGCCTGCTTCTCCTTCTCCCTCTGCCTGCTGCTCTGCCTACTTGTGATCTCTCTCTCTCTCTGTCAAATAAATAAATAAAATCTTTAAAAATATGTATAAAGTCCAATGCATGACTTTTAATATATTTTTTATAAATAATTGTGGAGTAGAAAACAATTTGTCATTAAGTTGGGTTTCTAAGTGTACTTTTGGGGGAGCTGTATTTGCTATGGATTTATGTGGATGTGCTCTCATGCACGAACACGAAAGAAAAGAATGAGACTTTTTTTTCAAGTAAATACATTTTCACATCCTTTTTTTAAAGATTTTATTTATTTGAGAGAAAGAGAGCACAAGCAGGGTGAGGGGCAGAGGGAGAAGCAGACTCTCCACTGAGCAGGGAGCCCGATGCGGGGTTCAATCCCAAGACTCCAGGATCATGACCTGAACCGAAGGTAGATGCTTAACCGACTGAGCCACCCAGGCACCCCACATCTTCTTATCCTTTAAATGAGAGTTGTGAGGAATGAATCGGCTGATGTGTGTTCCGTGTCTGCTGCACTGTTAATAAGTGCTCAATAAATGTAATAGTTATTTTGTGCCTATTGCAACTCACTTTATTTTGTAATTTTTACATCCTTTTTTTTTTAAAGATTTTTTTATTTATTTGACATAGACACAGCGAGAGAGGGAATACAAGTAGGGGGAGTGGGAGAGGGAGAAGCAGGCTTCCCGCGGAGCAGGGAGCCTGATGCGGGGCTCGATCCCAGGACCCTGGGATCATGACCTGAGCCGAAGGCAGACGCTTAATGACTGAGCCACCCAGGCGCCCCTAATTTTTACATTCTTTTCTTTAAAATTAGTTTTTATTCTTAAGTAATACATGCATAGAATTTAAACATCAAACACCACCAAAAGGCTTAAAAGAAGAGTAGCAGTTCTTTGCTTTCCCCTTCTGCTTCAGGGAGACAGCCACTTCCAGCTTCTCTTAGTTGTTTGTTCTGATATGAAATTATATTCTAAATTATCTGCATATTTTAAAAATATATCAAGTTCTAAAGATTTGTGTCTTGATTTATCAATTTTAGACATTGTCTCTCTGGCCTGCTAGTTGAGGATTTAGCTCTTTTCTAATGCTGTCCCCTTCCCATTCTCCCCTTCCCCTGAAATAATTATGTCACAATTTTAGCTAAATCATTATTATTATATAAATATTGTTCTCTGAAGAGCCAAGAAATATACCATGATTATATTTCTTTGCTTGCATAAATGTTTTTCTGTGATTAAAATAATTGTGTATTTGCTTTGATGACTATATACCTTAGTTTTTTCCCATATGTTCTCTAAGTTGTCAAATGTATATTGATACTAGTTTTCAAATATTCATCTAAGTAATATTAAATTATCTATGTTCTTGATTTTCTTAGAGCTCCCCTATGCAAGTCCTCCATCCTTCTCTGGGCCTCCTGCCCAGCTGTCATTCTGGGACTTCCCTGGGTCACTTTCCTGGGCTGCAGTTCCCATTTCCTGAATTCCATGCCTTCCTTTTTCTTAGCTTACTTCTTCATCTTACTGAAATACATCTTCAAGTAACTTCCTAAGAAAGGGTATACAGATCAATTTTTAAAATTCTTACTTGAAAAGGTTGTCATTTAAAGTCATATTTGCTTTATGGTTTGACTGGATATAGAATTCTGGTTCAGAATTCAGAATTTTGTATTCATGGTTTCATGATCATCTGACTTCCAGTATTGCTGTTGAGAAGTATGATGCCATTTAGGTTTTTCAGCCTATTAATGTGATCTGTTGTATTTTATTTTTCTCTCTCTTTCTGAAAGATTTCCGGGTCATTTTTATTTCACAGGGACATACTTTGGTATAGTTCTTTTTTATTATTTTGCTGAGCATTCAGTTGATGCTTTCAATCTGGAAACATATATTCCTTTCATCCTGGAAATTCTTCTTATTTTATTTCTTGTATAATCTTCCATTTTGTCTCTTCTGTTCTAGAACCCCTGTGATACACATTGGACTTTCTGAATTGGTGCTGTAATTAAAAAAAAAAAAAAAAAACTTTTCTCATTTTTTTAGTTAGGGGAAGGCTCAAAGGTAATAATACTTTAAATAAATTAAAACTTTGAAGTGCAGAGTAGTCATTCCAAGGCTGATATGGCGACTCCAGAATCAACAGGGACTGAAATGGCTTCTCTTTTTTTGCTTTGCTATTCTTGGAACATAGATGGCTTCTGTCCTCAAAGTTGCCCCATGGCCCTGAATGGCTGCTGGAGCTCTTGCCCTCATATCCACATTCTAGGCAGCAAGAAGGACAAAAAAGAATGCCCAACTATCTATTCTCCTTTTAAGGAACATTTCCAGAAGTTTCACTTAACGATTTCCACTAAATCTCATTGGTCATAATTAGACATACTTAGCTGAAAAGAAAGCTTGGAAATACAGTCTTTTTAGATGAGCATGTTGCCACTCTGAACAAAATCTGGGTCCTGCTGCTAATGCAAAAAAGAAGAAAGAATCTTGGGTAGGCAATTAATTGTTCCTGCCATTTTTGGTTTTTGTTTGACTCAAGAGTTATTCTCAACTTTGTCTTCTAAACTTTCTATTGAATTTTAAATTTAGCTACCAAGGGGTACTGAGTGGCTCAGTCGGTTAAGCATCCAGCTCTTGATTTTGGCTTAGGTCATAATCTCAAGGTCATGGAATTGAGCCCTGAGTCGGGCTCCATGCTCAGCACAGAGTTTGCTTGAGATTCTCTCTCTCCCTCTGCCTCTGTTCCTCCCTGTTTGCTTGCTCTCTCTCTCTCAAATAAATAAATAAATCTTAAAAAAAAATAAAATAAGCTACCAAATTAAGCTACCAATTAGCTACCAAAGTTTTAATTTCCAAGAGTTTTACCTGTAATGCTATTGTTCCTTTTGCATAAAATCTTATTCTTGTTTCATGGATGCAATATGTTTCTCTCTCCAAGACACTTTGGAATGGGACAGACGTTTGAATGCTAACTCTGCCACTAACTAGCAATATGACCTTGAGCTGAGGCTTTCAACTTTTAAAAATGAGAATTAACTTTGTGTTAATTAACTCTATTCTTTCCTATGAAAAAAATCTGTTTGAACATTACAATAAACTTAGAAAAAAACCAGCAAAATAAAACTTTTAAGAAATCATTCAAAACAATCACCTTTAACAGTTTGATAGTGTTATTAGCTTTTCATGTTGACTAATGCTTCTCCTAACCAGATTATGGGCTTTTAAAAGTAATAGCCATAAGATAGGAGAGTACTTAAGAATGCTAGGTGCATAGTAGACCCTGAGTTATAAATATATCGGAAGATTAAGTGTTGCATCTTCACTAGAATTGGTTTCTACTTATAGTACCTAAATACACTAATATCTATATATCCAGACTATTGTGTTCAAAGGCACCTATTTTTATGATGGCTAACTCAGGCTGGAGTCATGGAATATATGCTGATATGAACAGATTTTTATTTTGAAAAATAATGACCTATATTAAAATGTTTTGTTAGACTATATATCTGTATCTTTTCTTGTGTATATGGGAAAAGAAAGTCTGGACAAGAAACTAGTTTCACAGTGATCAAGTCTGGTGGAGGAATTAGGAATATAGGGAGACAGACAGTGGATGGGGAAGGAAGGACACTTTAACACCGTGTATTATTTACATATTTTTAATTTGTGTACCATAGAAGTATATTAACTATTTAAACATTAAATGAAAATTGATGAAAATATTTAATGTATTTTTTCTGATTATAGAATTTTTTTTTAAAGATTTTTTTTTATTTATTTGACAGAGACACAGTGAGAGAGGGAACACAAGCAGGGGGAGTGGGAGAGGGAGAAGCAGGCTTCCCGTGGAGCAGGGAGCCCAACGCGGGGGCTCGATCCCAGGACCCCGGGATCACGACCTGAGCTGAAGGCAGACGCTTAGCGACTGAGCCACCCAGGCGCCCCTGATTATAGAATTTTTTAAAGATTTATTTTTTTAAAGATTTTATTTATGAGAGAGAGAGCAAGTGAGGGGAGGGGCAGAGGGAGAAGCAGACTGCCTTCTGAGCAGGGAGCCTGACATGGGCTTGATCCCAGGACCCTGAGATCTTGACCTAAGCCAAAGGCAGACAGTTAACTGACTGAGCCACCCAGGTGCCCCTTATTTATTTATTTGAGAGAGAGAGAGAGAAAGCACAGGGAGGGGCAGAAGGGGGTGGGCAGAGGGAGAGGAAGAGCATCTCAGGCAGACTCCTTGCTGAGTGTGGAGCCCAATGTGAGGCTCGATCTCACAACCCTGAGATCATGACCCCCGCCGAAACCGAGAGTTGGCTGCCTAACTGACTGAGCCACCAAGGCTCCCCTAGAATTATTTTTAATTACATATTTTAAAGAAATGAGATATTTGAAAGGAAATACAGAGAAGCATTAAGATGAAAAGTCACATATATAATCTCATACCCCAGAGATAACTATTAACATTTGATATATTTCTTCCAGTAGTATATACATTATAAACTTGTACCTATATATGTTTGCAAAACTGGAATTTGCTGTGTAGTATTTTATATTCTCCTTTCCCCCCACTTACCCATTATATTATTTGTATCTTCCCATATCATTGAGAGTATAATTTAACCGTTTCTTCATTATTAAAGATTTAGAGGTTTCCAGTTTTTCACTCTTATAAATAACTTTGGGATAAAGTACATGGTACATAAAGCTTAATGCGTATCTCTGATTGTTTCTTTAGGATAAATTCCCAAGAGAGAAATAACTTGGACCATTTGATAGGTTCTTATTAGATATTCATATGTTGAAAGATATTTTTCTTTGTGATAATACACAGTTTTTTCCCCCAAGGAACATATGAATGACAAAAATATCATCAAAGCTGTAGAACAGCAGCAGCAAGAGGAGGAAGATGAAAAGATTAGAAAATTCATCAAAGCAAAAAAGCGTCTTACACAAATAAGGAAAGAAAAAGAAGCTGAAACACACAGGTAAGCTTTTAAAAGTAATTCATATAATTAATAAAGTACTATCTGAAATTATTATAAATCAGAAGTTGTGATATGAGAGGAGTTTTTAAGAATAAGTCATTATAGGGCACCTGGCTGGCTCAGTCGGTTAAGTGTCTGCCTTTGGCTCAGGTCATGATCCTGGGGTGCTGGAGAGCCTGCTTCTCCCTCTGCCTCTCACTCTCTCTCTCTCTCTCTCTCACATAAATAAATAAATATTTTGGGATGCCTGGGTGGCTCAGTCGGTTAAGCGTCTGCCTTCGGCTCAGGTCATGATCCCAGGGTCCTGGGATCGAGCCCCGCATCGGGCTCCCTGCTCTGCGGGGAGCCTGCTTCTCCCTCTGCTTGTGCACTCTCTCTCACAAATAAATAAAATCTTTAAAAAAAATCTTTTAAAAAAAGAGTAAGTCATTATATATAACTAGGGCATTTAGTGACATGATGATTTCAGAGTTAGGTTTCCCTTGGAATATCAAGGACATCTATCTGGTGGATGGTTGGAAATAGTGAAATCTCTGCTGTAGGGGAGGGATATGAGCTAGAAATAGCTTTGTGAGCCATTGATATATAAGTGGTAGTTGGAACTGTGGATACAGCTGAGCTCACCTATGGTGAGTAGGTAAGAAATGAAGGTGAGCCGTCATTGGTGTTAGATCAATAGAGGGATTATATGAGATTTTTAAAGATTTACGTATTTATTTTAGAGGGGGGGGGGCACAGGGAGGGAGAGTCTTAAGAAGACTGCACTGAGTGTGGAGCCCAACAGGGAGCTTGATCTCATGACCCTGAGATCACAATGTGAGCAGAAACCAAGAGGTGGACACTTAACTGTGCCACTCAGGTGCCCCTTAATGAGATTTGAAAAATGAAATGTCAGATATGGAGGTCATTGCTTACCTTAGTGGTAAGTTTGGGATGAGGTCAGAGAGAGGAGGCCAGTTTCAGTACACTGTGTTTCTGTCTACATTCCACTTTTGCCTTGTGCAGAGCGTTCCAATGGCTTTATATCACATGTAGAGTATTTACTAAGGCCCATAAGGCTCTCCATCATCCTGATTCCCAGCTGACCCCAGCCTCATCTCTTGGACTTTATCTTGTACTATTCTCTCCTTCTTTGCCTCCTCATCACTCACACTGGACTTCTCCTGTACCCTCTCTGGGGAATGCTGACCTCCCTAAACTCTTTCAAAAGGATCATTACTCAGATGTTGCCTTCTCAGTGAGGCCTTCCCTGACTACCTTAATTAAAATTACAGCCCCACCCCCCACATTGCTTATCTGTTTAATTGCTTGCTTTTTCCTCATTGCGTGATATAGCACCATTTTAATTATTTACTTTGTTCACTATCCCTCTACCCCAGCTGTAATGAAAGTTCTAGAAGAACAGAGATTTTTAATCTTTTTGTTTACTATTATATCCCCAGCACCTGGAATAATGTCTGGAACATAGTAGGCAATCAATAAAAGTGTTTAGAATATTGTTCTTGGAAGTCTAGATGCAATGTCACCTTTCCCATGAAGCCTTCCTTTTTTCTCATCTGCCTATATCACTTTCTAGCTTTCTCATTGGCATGTATCACCTTTGCCATGTATTGTTATTTGCTTAAATGTCTTTTCTCCACTTTAGACTGTAATTTCCTTGGGATATGCACTGTGTCCTTTCTTATTATTTCTCCCACATTGCTTTGCAAATTCATTCCATAAATTAGTGAATCTGTCACATCTAAATTTGAAAGTATTTTTTGCCCAATCCTAAATGAAAATGCCCCTATTCCTTTAACAAATACCTAGTTAGGGTTAATGATGTGCCAGTCACCATGCTTGGCTCTGAACTAGAGAGAGGACTTACCCATTCTCTGAGCTCAGGAATCTCATAGTGTAAAAGGACGTTGTCTATCTTCATATAAATAGATGAAGTCAGTAAAGTGCTATGAATAAATTGTAAACAGAACTATATAGTAAGAGGATGGATTTATTCAGGATTTGGTAACTTTTACTAGATATTTTTGAGGTTTCATTTAAAGAAAGGCTGTTGATTTATTTTATAACCTAAGCCTCCAATGTTAGAGTAAGCACGGTATCTGATTAAGTATTTTGAAAATTTTTTCATTGTGAGAATTTTAATACTTTATTTCCTACACGCATGCACGCATACACACGCACGTACACAAGATATTATATGTATTACTTTAAAATATGCTGTATTCTAAAAATAAAAGTATTAAAAATAGTTTCCACTTAAAATAATCAGTACATATAAGGAGCATTGGGGCTCCTTTCAGTTTTGTAAAAAACTATAAATTATCTGATTTTTTTTTTAAGATTTTATTTGACAGAGAGATAGAGAGAGAACACAAGTAGACAGAGCGGCAGGCAGAGGGAGAGGGAGAGGGAGAAGCAGGCTGTCAGCTGAGCAGGGAGCCCGATGTGGGGCTTGATCCTGGGACCTCTGGGATCATGACCTGAGCTGAAGGCAGCTGATTAACTGACTGAGCCATACAGGTGCCCCTAAAATATCTGATTTCTAATGAAATTATATTGGCTCCATAACAAATCTATTCATGAAGATTTAACAAGTGATGGTTATTTTGTTATAGGCTAATGGAAGAAAGGAGAGAAAGAATAAATAACTTGCTGAGTGAACTGATAAAAGAGAAACTTGACAATGAAGATTTGATTATTGCTAGAGATACTGCAGAAGCTGAGGCTGAATGGGAAAAAAGAGAAAAAGAAAAATATGAAAAAAACAAAGCAGAATTAAAAGCGATTGCAGAATATAGAGCTGTTGTGGTAAGCAATTCAATTACGACAAATAAAAATTTAAAAAAAATTTTAAGTCCTTTCCACTGTAGTTTCCATTCCCTCTCCCTCTCTGACAAAAAACTAGCAAAGATTTGAAAAACAATGTATGAGTTATCTTCCTATATTCTTGAAATCAGACCATGTTTAATTTCTAACAGAAGATCACATGATAATCAATTACAAATAAGATATTGATAGACACAAAATAATCTCTTCTGTTTCAGAACCATCTGAAATGCAAAAATTGTTATTCACTTAATATACATTTGAGTGTTTTTAAGACTAACCAAATAAAAATTACCCATTTCTGTATTTCTTAATCCTTCAGATAATCCTTATCTCCTACATAATTGACTGTCGTAACATTTAATTTGGATAGTTTATAAACATTATAGCAGTAAATTTTTTACCTACAAATATTCCCCTACCTTGAGAAGATCTTGCTATTCTGTTCTTGTATTTTATTTTTTAAACCAGTATCACTCAAGTTTTCATTGTGTGTTTCCTGTTATTTGGGAAATAGAACAAAACCAAAGTAAACTGATCATGTGGGAATCAGCCCAGGTACCTGTAACTTCTGCCCCTGTATTGCTCCAGGCTTTCTGCTTGGAGCTTTCTAACTGTGCTTTATTAGAGAGCACTGGTTGATAAAAAAAAAAAATTGTTTCCCTTTGCTTTTTAACATCTAGATGAAAAATAAAGAGGAAGAAGAAAGACGGAGGAAACTAGAGGATAAAGAACAATTGCTGGCTATCCTGAAAGCAGATCGGATTTTCCAGGAGCATGAGAAGGAGAAAAAACGCAAAGCTGATAAAGAACGACAAGAAGTTCGAGATGCCCATATTCAGCAAATGGTAATTATTATTAAATGTTTATACTTATTTTAACAGTAAATATGTAATGTAGAGTTGATGCTAGTTTTCTGTTTCCCAGGTGGTTTCATCTGTCAAATAAGATCAAATGATCATTATGGATATGACACAATAAGATACATAAAAAATGTGAAGTTAATTTCTCTTTTTATAGGTATTGAAGTTCCCATACTAGGTTTATGTCTTTTGCACAAATATTTATCCTTGTTCAGTGTCTATTGTGCTTTAGTAAATATTAAAGAAAATGCAATTGCATACAGCAGGCCATGATGCTTATCTTCTTCGTTTTACTTTTTTCCCCCTTTTTATAACTATAGGCCAGAGATTATGTTGATTGGGATCTCATAGGTTTCAGAGTTGGGGTGATAGGGGTACCAGAGATTTTAGAACACATATAGAGGACCTGGCATCCAATCATTTATGACTTAAATCTGTTTTCCAAAATGGCTATACCATTTTCCATTCCTACCAGCAACATATGCGAGGACAAACTGTTCCACATCCTCATCAACACTTGCTTTTGTTATCCTTTAATTTGAACTATTTCTAGCGTAGTGATATCTCATGGTGTTGTTTTGCATTTCTCTAATGACTAAAGATTTTGAAGATCTTTTCATGTCCTTTATGGACATTTGTGTGCCTTCTTTTATGAAGTATGTATTCAGATCTTTTGCCATTTATTCATTTGAGTTGTTTGGGTTTTTTAAAATTTTATTTATTTGAGAGAGAGAGAGAGAGCACAAGCAGAGGGAACAGCAGAGGGAGAGAAAGAAGCAGATTCCCCTCTGAGCAGGGAGTTTGATGTGGGGCTCCATCCCAGAACCCTGGGATCATGTCCTGAGCTGAAGGCGACTGAACCACCCAAGTACCCTGGGTTGTTTGTTTTATTATTGTTTTAACATTTTTTTTTAATGTGGTAGAATATACATAACATAAAATTTGCCATTTTAACCATTTTTCAGTGTACCAGTTCAGGGCCATTAAGTGCATTTACTCTCACCACTATCCATCTCCATAACTTTTTCATCATCCTACACTGCAATTCTGTACCTTTTCATTCCCCCATTACCCCAGTCCCTGGTGACCACTATTCTACTTTCTGTTTCTATGAATTTGAATATTCCAGGTACCTCATATTAGTGGAATCATATTTGTCTTTTTGTATCTGTATTATTTTACTTATGTCTTCAAGACTCATCCATGTGGCAGCATGTGTCAGAATTTCCTCTTTTTATTAAGGCTGAATAATATTCCATTGTATGTATATACCCCATTTTGTTTATACATCCATCCATCCGTGGACATTTGGGTTGTTTCCATCTTTTGGCTATTGTGAATAATACTTCTGTGGATATTGGTATGCAAGTGTCCTTTGAGTCCTGCTCGTTTTTATACACAGAAATAGAATTGCCAGATCATATGGTAATTCTAGGTTTAACTTTTTTAAGAACCACTGTACTATTTTTTTTTAAAGATTTTATTTATTTTGAGAGAGAAAGAGAGTACAAGTGGGGGGAGGGGCAGAGGGAGAGAGAGAATCCCAAGCAGACTCCACACTGGACATGGAGCCCTACCTAGGGCTCAATCCCACAACCCTGAGATCATGACCTGAGCCGAAATCAAGAGTCAGACACTTAACCGACTGAGCCGCCCAGGTGCCCCTTGAATGACCATACTGTTTTCTATAAAGCTGTACCACTTAACATTACCACCAGCAATATTCAAGGGTTTCAATTTCTCTGAATACTCAATATTTGTTCTGTTCTGGGTTTGTTGTTGATGGTTTTGTTGTTGTTTATAATAGCCATCGTAATAGGTTTGAAGTGGGTTTCACTTGTGGTTTTCATTTGCATTTCCCTAGTGACGAGTGATATTGAGCATCTTTTCATGATTCTTGGCCATTTCTGTTCAGCCTGAAGACTTCCTTTAGCATGTTTTATAGTGCAGGTGGGTTAGCAATAAATTATTTACGTGTTTGTGGAAATGTCTTTGTTTTCATTTCATTGGGTATAGAATTACTGGATATCATTCTTTCCCAGCCCTTTGAATATATTGTTCCATCATCTTTGGCCTTCATTGTTTATCATTAGCAATCTGCTGTTAATCATATTGTTGGTCACCTAAATGTGATGCATCATTTTTCTCTTGCTGGTTTCAACAATTTCTCTTTATTTTTGGTTTTCAGCAGATTGACAGTTTGACAGTCAACCAGTAACGTGGGTGGAGTTTATGTTCAGTTCAGTGATGTTAAGACAGTGATGCTTTTATCCCTGCCGCACAAGCTATGTGTGGGTTGAGGATGTTATTCCTAAGAACAGCAAATTCACAATTTCCCCCAGGCTTTTAATTTTTGCTAAGCTCCCTGGGGTCTCTTGTGTGAATGTGTAGTTTATCAATGAGACAAGGGTGTCCATAGAGTTTATTATTTCAGCCCTTCTATGCCTATCTCACTTCCAGAATCTCCCCCTTAAATTTCTAGCTGCTTTGCTACTCAATCCAAATGGAATCTGTCATCATTGTCCAGCAAATCTGCAAGTTTTCAGCACCTGAGCTGGAGGAGCTGGAGGGATAGCAATATCCCCCAGAAAAGCTTGCAGTTCTTACCTGATTTAGTAGCAGTTTTTCATGAAAACACATTTCTCAAGTAGTTGCTTATACATGATCCTTTAATAGTGCTTTGAAATGAGAATTCAAACTTGTTTTTATAGAGGGGAAATGGCCAACCTCCTCATGTAGCCATTGCCAGAAGTAGGATCTGCCATATTATTTTGAAGCAAATCCCAGGTATCATTTTATCAATGCAGTATATCTCTCTCAAAACTCAGGGACTCTTTACAAATTTACATAATCACAATTCCATTATTACATCTAAACCAATTAATGTTCAGTCTTTAAATGTCCTTTAAATTGTCTTGTATTTTTTTTTAGTTTGTTGGTTTTTAAAAAATTTTTTTAAGTAGACTCCATGCCCAATGTGGGACTTGAACTCAAGACCCTGAGATCAGAAGTCACATGCTTTATGGACTAAGCCAGCCAGGCACCCCTTAGTTTGTTTTAATCAGGATCAAATAAGGTCCATATATTCTATTTGGTTGGTATGTCTTTCAAGTCTCTTATCTAACACTCCTCCTCTACCCCTCTCTTCTTAAGTTCTCCCTTCTTGTCTTTTGTTTTCCAATTTATTTGTTGAGGGGTTTTACTGGTTTGCAGGGTTTGTCTTTTAGAATTACTACAGTCAGATTTTTATGGTTGAACCCCTGTTGTGTAGTTTATTGTTTCCTGCGTTTCAGGTAAAATCTAGTTGAGGTCAGATTCAGGTTCAAATCTTTGGTGAAAATTAGTCATATGTGGTGTTGTATACTTCCATCAGAAGGCACATGGTGACCGTTGTCACTTTCTGTGACATGAACAGCCTTTGATGACTATTGCCTAGATCTCTCAGTTCATGAGGTGGCAAGATACTGATATTCTCTCATTTCTTCTTACTCATTTGCTCAAGTCTTCAAAGAACTTTTCATGATCAACAATTTGGTTTCCCTGAGGTACAGTTTTTAAAGAAAAGACAGAATAAATACTTGATCCCCTCCCTTTATCTTCCAGTATTCAAAATAATTAGCATCTCCTAAACATGCTTGTTATTTCCCCCATCTGTTATAATTTTTAGGAATTTAAAACAATATTTTAAAAGTTTCTTTATAAATCTGTTTATGCTTAATGCAATCAAAATTGAGGCATCAATCATATGATCCATTATGATAATCCTTTCCTTCCCTTGTCACTTCCTTTCTGTACTTGAGATGTTTCTCCTTGCTTCCTTAATATCTTTTCACAAATTGCTATCAAACAAACATATCCTAGTTGCTCTTTAAGTTCCCAAATTATAGCATTTTACCTTTTATGAGAGTGGTTTTAGCTTTTTCTGATTTTCTCAATCTTTTTGAAGGGCATTTTCTACTTTTTCAAACTCCTGATATTGTATCACTGATTCAACAAATAGCACATAATCCTTTTAGCACATAAACTTTAATTTTGAATTGTATTTGAATTAATTTGAATTGAATATGAATTAAATGCCAAAAAAATTTGGTATTTAGTATGTTATGGTTGCTCTATTTATTTATAAATTTCAGTGTACAGTAGTTATCAGGTTTGGGCTCTTTTATACTTAAGTGCTGGTTACTGATTTAGGAAAATATTTTCATAAATATATTCATAAGTAGACAAAATCACTCAATTTTTTACAAACTCAAACTCAGCATTTCTTTTTTTTTAATTTTATTTAAAGATTTTATTTATTTATTTGAGAGAGAGAATGAGAGATAGAGAGCACGAGAGGGAAGAGGGTCAGAGGGAGAAGCAGACTCCCCGCTGAGCAGGGAGCCCGATGTGGGATTCGATCCCGGGACTCCAGGATCATGACCTGAGCTGAAGGCAGTCGCCCAACCAACTGAGCCACCCAGGCGCCCCAAACTCAGCATTTCTTAAAATGCTGCTAAGACAAAAAGTTGTCAATCAGACTTCATTAAAATCACCTCATAAAATCAGTTAAAAGAACAATATTTTTGCAAATATAAAGAGTTAAAAGAAAAAAATTATGAAATTGGCTTTTGGTAAATTGCTTAGAGTACTCCACCCAATTCCAGATCAACCAACCTACACTGATAAATGTCACTTGTTACAACTTCAAGTTCCTGGGAAAAGAAAATGTAATTGGTTTAATTTCATTCAGATATTCACTGCTGATTTAATCTTATTTGGCTGGGTCACATGGTATATTGGGCTGACTTAGAACAGTGGATTTCAGTGAGTTCTTTCAGAATAGTAGATGGGGGGAGGGCACCTGGCTGGCTCAGTTGGAAGAATATGCAACTCTTGATCTCAGGTCGTGAGTTTGAGCCCCACATTGGGTAGAGATTTTTAAAAAAAGGGGGGCACCTGGGTGGCTCAGTTGTGATCCCAGGGTCCTGCTCTGCGGGAAGCCTGCTTCTCCCTCTCCCCCTGCTTGTGTTCCCTCTCTCGCTGTGTCTTTGTCAAATAAATAAAATCTTTAAAAAAAAAAATAGTGGATGGGTTGGAGGCAGTGATCGGTAGGTTTTCTATACCTGCCAAAGTACACATTTTTATAAATGGTAGAAACAGGATTCTAAACTCATTTAATTTTTACCTAAAGTTCATGCTTTTAACTACTTTGTTATATTGTTTGTTTGAAGATATGTTATTGCATAAGACTATTAAGTTTCACTGAGCCACTGCTTTGAGCATACTATTCTAAGAAGCATGGGAGTTTCTGAAATTATAGTATATACAGGTGCCCCTTGAACAATACAGGTTTGAACTTTGGGGGTCCACTTACAGATGGATTTTTTTCAATATATACATTGGAAAATTTTTTGGAGATTTGCTACCATTTGAAAAAACCTGGAGATGAACCACATAGCCTAGAAATACACCCACCCCAAATTAAGAAAACGACATTAAGAACGCAGCATATAATACATATATGCATCCAAAATGTGTCAACTTTATGTATCAGTAAGGCTTCTGGTCAACAGGAAGCTATTAGAAGTTTTGTGGAATCAAAAGTTATCCATGAATTCTTTACTGTGCCAGGGGTTGGCATCCCTAACCCCCGTGTTGTTCAAGGATCAATTGCAGTTGTTAATTCAGAGCTTGTCACCTATCAGCGAGTTTAGAAAATTCTATCTACAACTTCAAATGCCACGTATATTTAGAAAATTGATCTTACCAATATGAAATTGCATTTTCTTTCTTTCCCAAATAGGCCAAAAATAAATTTAACACAAAGCAAGAAAAGCAAGCAGAATTAGAGTACTGCAGACTTACTGAAGCTCTTGTGGCTGAAAAGGAGAAGGAATTTCAAGATTATGCCAGAGAAGTAATTGAACTTGAGTCTGAATCAACAAATAAATATATTTATCCTCTTGTAAAAGCTGTACAGGAAGGACATGGAGGTGGCTGTGGACCAGTTTTTGTGAACAGAGGTGGATTAAGACCCAGTTATCAGGCAAATGATGGCACCGGAGTCCAGCTCCCTTTCTATAACTCTCGGGGATCAAAATATAGTAATTTTCAAAAGTCTAAGGGAAAGCTAGGTTTTACATGGTAGAAAAAAGTTTAAGATTGAGAAGACTAAGTTGTAGCTAATATTATGAGCTACAAATAAGTGAATTTTATGCTTATAATTTGTTAATAAAGCTGCTTTTCATCTAAGTGCAATTACATCTGTTCTAATAGATTCTTCACTACCATAGTTTAATCCCTTTGATAATACATACACAACATAGTGTAATTTTAGTCTTTAAAAATACGTACTTAATGCTACAAGTATAGCTATAATATTGTACAACCATTAACATATCTGGTTCCAGAATGTTTCATTGCTCCAAAGGGAAACCCTGTACCTAAGCAGTCACCTCCCACTTCCCCTCCCTTTCCACAGCCTCTGGCAACTTTGTCTCTATGGATTTGCCTATTTTGGGTATTTCACATAATTATATGGAATCATACTGTGGCCTTTTGTGTCTGGCCTATTTCACTTAGCTATTTTCAGGTTTCATCCATTTTATACCATTATCAGTACTTGTTCCTTTTTACAGTTGAATAATATTGCATTGCATTTTTCTCTTCAACAGAAATTTAATTATTTATCCTTCAATACTTTTTAGTTTCAAACACTACCAATATTATTGCTAACAAAAGGATTAGTTTATGACTTGTGGTTTATTTTGTAGAGTGCATCTTGCTAGACTTGTGTAAATTACTGTTTTCGAGTTAGTTGAAGTAGTTTTTCTACAAGTAGTTATATGAGCAATTTGATACACAGGTATACACAGGTGACTGTGCATCCAATGACTCAAAGGTTTGAGTTGTACAATGACTAAGTTTCACATATTATCCCATTGGTGAATGTGTTTAAGAGCAAAATACAGGTATTTTCCTTTTTCACAGGGCTACTAAATTGTTCAGTAATTCTTTTGGCCTAGGGTTGCCACCATTTTAAAAATTACCTAGATGCAAAGTTCAATGAACTAATAAAGTCAGGGAACCTCTGCCACGTATCTTTTTCTTTAAATTGTTTTAGAAAGTACTGTACATTTGGGGGTGATTACTAGTTTTGGATGAAGCTATCTTCACATTACAACACAGGAAACATGTTTCTACAAAATGGTTAATTTCATAAATGTTTTATAACGAAATTATCCCAGTGAAGAACATAAAACATTAGACATTACTAGTTTTCTTCCCTTATGTAAACAGTTTCATCGTATTACTTTCAACTGGGCTGGTCTACTAGAGTTAAGCACATTTTAAAAACAAAAGGGCTATGCAAAGTCTTAAAAATTAATGACAAAACAATTGATTGACAAAAACTGAGTTGCAAGGCACTGAGAACAGTGGAAACACAACTGTTGTAATCTGCCAATAGGATAAGAAATCCATAGCTAAAATGTGGCTAAGGGCGCCTGGGTGGCTCAGTCGGTTAAGCACCTGCCTTTGACTCAGGCTGTGATCCCAGGGTCCTGGGATTGAGGCCCGCGTTGGGCTCCCTGCTCAGCAGAGAGTCTGTTTATCCCTCTCCTCTGCCCTCCCCCCGACCCACTTGTGCTCTCTCTCTCAAATAAATAAAATCTTTTTAATAAATAAAATTAGTCCTTTAAAAAATAAATGTGTGGCTAAGATATATATTTGGGTATTGAGGGGGGAAAGGTGTAAAAATTATCAATCAGCACTTAAAAATAAAAAGGAAATACCAGTATTAGGTTGGGAAATATGTTTAAGAAGGAAGCCTAAAAAGCAATGAAAATAGAAAAAACAAATTGATACTAAAAGTATTTTAATACACAATTAATTTACACAGTCCATATGAAGCACTCACATTTTACATATTCTTCTGGCTAAATAAAGCATTTAAAAACACTCCAGAATTCAAGAATTTAATACCTCTTAACACATATAAACCACTGAATGGTCAGAACATTTTTATCTAACCATATATATTTTCAGTGACTAACTTTCAAGTTGGTGCATTTTCCCTAAATATATCTAATTTAAATAAAAATGAAACCAAACAAGGAACCAAAAACTAAACAATTTGTTTTACGAGTCAATTAACATCTATATGGCTTTACAATGTCAAGTGTTATATTAAAACTGGCAGGCACAGGATATAATACAATGTTCCCAATGCTGAGAAATTTGGAGGAATTAAAAAGCAAATGGTAGCATTCCAGTAGACAGTAATGCAAATTCCAAATCTAACCTTAAGTTTGCTGAGGCAAAAGACACACTGTAATCTGAAACATTATGATTAAACATTTACACTAGAATTTATCTCCAAACCTTCTGGAAATCATCACTGCGACTAAATTCCTAAAGAAGCTCAATACTGTTAAACTCTTTGCTCAGTTTTTCCTAATACAAATTCTATATCCCCATGGGTAAAATAAAAGTATATTTTAGTTGATTTATCTTCATTATTTAGCTTTTAATAAAAATAAAGGTTGAATAACTAATACAACAGTAATTTTAAAAATACAAAACAAACTGTTATAGTTTATTTAATACAATGTTTAACTATAAAAGTTGATAGTTTCAGAATTTAAATTCTGTAAAATGCAGTTTGCAGAAAACAGTTTTAACAGTTACTAGACTAATGATAAGAGAAGCAGCATTTTGAAACTAATTATACAATTGTGACAACAGCTTTATTCCTAAATTTCATTAAAAAAATATACATCACAGTGACTTTTGAGCTAGGAAAAGAAGTGCATTAACTTCACTTGAATTTTTCCCTTCCACAAAGAGAGCAGCCACAACTTTTAACATCCCCACATACAAATAACCAATTCATTTATCAATCCTTCCAAGTACTAGAAACACACAAAACAGAAACAAAATATACAGCATGGGCTTTTGGTAACACAGGCATTTGCTTAAAAAAAAAAAAAAAAAGAAAAACCAGAAACACAACTTAACCCCACAATTTCTTCCTATACTTAAAAACAAACAAAACCCCTCAACAACTCCCTTCTCCAACCTTGCTGATGGATTTTTATGTGATTTTTCTTTTAATATTTACTTCTTGTGTTACACCACAGGCCAGCGTTTGCATTTGTCTGAATCCTTTAAAGGCAGCTGGGAAACCCGCTATGGGCAGGTGTCAACCAATGCTGCACTTCCTGGAGTTTATCAATTTTTAAAACGAGTATTGTAACAAAACGTATCTTTTCACAATAAACAGGTTATAAATCTACAATCCTTGGAGTTTATTCAACTGTAAATGTATGAATACTAAACTGAGTAATTATAGTAAACATGACCGAAAGAAGACAGGAAAATACCCATTTTATGTTTCTTTATATCAATCAACAATATATATGGTGTATATTTAAAGTACCTTCCGGTGAAGGGAAAGGGAACAAGTTTCTATAGAAATTCACTATAAAAGGTTCAAAGTGTGATGAAAAACAACTGCCACCTGGACTAAAAAGCATAGTGAGCTACTAAAAAAAACCCCTAACTTTTCCATATACTAACTTGAAAACAAATTAGAATTGTCCTTTAATATCATTACTCAAAATACCAGAAACCCAATGTGTTCCTGTCCATAATATTAAGAAATGTTTACTTTTCAGTTTCATACCTTTCACTGGGTACAAGAATCAAAGGCCATTCAGCAAAGCCAATATGAATCAGTATCACACTTGTGCGAAGATAGATTTATCAAATTCTTTGAAACTTCTGTGAGGGCTTTAAGGAACTCTATTAGAAATTACAATGCTCTATGAACTCATTAACTGTAATTTAAAAATATTTTGAAGCAACCCAGTAGATTCTCTACTGCTCATCAACATTAATCTCTCTGTTGTGTCAATTTGTGGCAGATGGTTTACCCCCCCAAAAGAATGAAATAATCATGAAAAAAAATTCTCAGATATTGCCAAACAATAAAATAAACCAATTAAATATCTTTAGAGGATGTGAAGTCAAAGATAGTTTGAGGTAAACTGTAAGCTCAGACTTAACTATAAAATCAATCTGACAGGAAAGAGCCAGCTTTCAGGAAGGAGTATATTCAAAGTAAAAGCTAAAGGTGGCACAACTATTAGAAATGCAATTAAAGGACTGTTTGAGCTATGTGCTATTCAGATATAAAGGCAGACGAGGTACAGTTAATGCTGTTTAATTATTTTCTAAATGTTTTTATTCTGAAAATAAAATCTGATTGTCATCTTTCATCTCAATTTCTTCACCATATCTGTTCTACTATAAAAACTAAGTTTTTAAATGTCTATAAATGCTTAGCATGGAGTTGCTCTTTTGATAACCAGAACAGGAGAATACTACTTACAGAAATTGCTAAAATTTTTTCCCTATGGTTACTTGCCTATAATTCTTACTAGATACAGCTCTGTGATCAGACATGTATTTTTACCTAGCATGGGTTTTTTTTTTTAATTATTAGAAAACCTTTCTTAAATAGCACCTTGAAGCTCAAATAGTTTATAACAGATATTTTAAAAATGCAATTTACTGAATTTAAAGACAATAACTAATTTAAAATATGTAACAGATTATATAGCTTGGGAACTCAAGACTCAATCATCCCTAAAGTAGGTTTGTGGTCAAGTCTCTAAGGAATCAATCACCCCATATTATCATAAACATCTATCACTTTTATCATCAGGAAAAAAAATTTAGAAAGACTTCATTGTGGATTATTTGCTTCAAGATATTCCAAACAATCTTATAATCATTACCTATTATTTGTTATGCAAACAGCTACCACAATGCCAAATGTTCATTACTGTATTAATCATTAATGGGAAGTATTATGTTAAGCACTGCTTTGCTCAGTACAAATAGCACTGAGTAGTTACTGGGTTTACCAAAAAGCTACCTTGGTAAGAGTTGATACTACATTGACAAATATGAAAGTACAAAACACTCTAAAGGCTACTATTAATTGGAATTCTGAAATTTCTTCTCAAATGAGGCAGGTTTTGTGTTTGCTGGACGTTCAATATTTTATTTAGAAGGGAAATTACAGAAAAAAAGGCCACACATCACAAAAATAGCAATATACAACACACAAAATTCTAAATGGACTTCGGGTATCTTTTACTGTTTAACTCTGTAAGCTATCAAATTTTGCAACTTTCTACTCTACTCTACGTGGCAATGTTGCACATGCCAAGCTAAATAATGTTAACAGTAATGGTATAAAGCCATCTGAATAGAAAGAAACCAGAGTCATAAACATGCTATACCCTATTGTGATATATATAGAACAGATGCATTTTCTTGCCATTTGAAACTCACAACTATGAGAGTTAGAGAAGTCAGCTCAAGTTAAAAAACCAAATCCAAAACAAGAACCATGCAGAATTAACACTCAACTCTATATAGATCAGTGGCCAAAGAGAAATCTTGGAAGTTAGTATGTCAATACTAACAATTTTTAGAATCTGACTTAAAGACCTGCACAAGTGGTATGTTTTAGTGAGAAAA